TGCACACACATGCACACACATGCACACACCAGCAGTACTCCTGCACAGCGGGAGGGTAGGAGGGAAAAAAAGGCAGAAGGGCAGCTGCAGCCCTAACGGACCGAACTTCAGTCAAACAAGACCCAACAGTTTTATTCTTGATTTAAACTGGCGATCTTGTGAGCAGCTGCAGCTGTATGCTTTTATTTTTTATGTCAGGCTGTCGCGTAGCGCTCCACCTCCTCTGGCTGTTGCGTTCTCTCGTCCTGGCCAATGCTACGCTTTGCTAACAGATATTCTTGGCAACAATTTATAGTTATGTTTTAAACAATAAGCTAAATGTTTGTTAACCAAGTGTATGTCTTAGAGATCACTGGCAGCTACTATCACACCAAATTGTATATTGATTTCTCTAAAAATAGCTGAGTTATAGGCAATCTTGGGCTTGATGAGGTACTGTAGCTGTGTTGACTGAGTCATTTCTGAAAGTTTTAGTTTTGATAGAATTCAAAGTCTTTCCTGTTCATTCCCATGAGGTATTTTTGGCATGATTTTGGTGAATTTGTAAAGCCACACATCTTGAGACTCAGCCAGTCATTTTCATGTCTTATTTGACTGGTTGTACTTTTTCTGGTTGCATTAAAAGTGACAGAAGAATAAAAAAATACTGTACCCACTTGTAACCAAGATACTTGTTCAGAAGTGGATAACAAGACTTGGCCATGCGCTGCATTGCTTTCTATGCTTTTTTAATGGCAGACTGCATTAACGTTAAGAAGCACATTTAGAGGTAGATGGAAATAGATACCACCATAGAAAAATATTGGAGGGAATTTATTGTAAATGCTTTGTATGCTTTTCTAAAGGCAGGCTCCAATTAGCAGTTACAGCAGCTGATGGAAAACATACTGTATTACTTACTTAAATTACTTTATTATTACTAACTTAAAAAGGAAAACAATAAAAAAGTAAATAATACACAAAAGAGGCACTTGTGTGATACTAACTACACAAAGTGTCCTGTGCATCTATATGGTGAAAGTTTTGATGTATCCAAATTAAACCTTTTAAAATGTTGAAAAGAGTCTATTTCACCATGATTTTTAAGAATCTGGATTTAATAACGTTTTTCTAATAGTAAATTTGTATTTCAATGTTTGTGTTTATTTCTCTTTAATAGTATTTTTTTTACATGTCTGTGGAATTTGTGCTGAAACAACCAGCAGAAAAATA